GTTAACTGAGGGGTGTTACAGAGTATTTGTTAAATATAGCTAACAAAATATATATTGTGTGTTTGATTGGTCCAGACGCTACAACTTACAATTTTTCTTTAGACTGTGATCATTACTCACATTTTTTTTTTCAGTAATTTTTGGAGTTCTATATCAGTAGTTCTCAACTTTTTTGACTTGAAGGCCCTCCTGTCTAAGCTGATATGTAGCTCTGGCATTTCAAAATATGTCAGTTTAATGTTATAAATCTTTTTACCATTTGAATTAAGCCTCCTGGTTGAGAACCTCTGTTCTATATCATTCACTGAAAAGACTTTGTGATGTAGTACCACAAAATAACAGTGTTGTAACTTAAGTCAGTTGGAAATTCTTTCTCTGGTCTTGGACATGCTTAAACAGAAAATCGATTAGGACTGCTTGCCAGCAATTAACCTGAAGTTTGTATCGTTATGACAAAGGGAAGATAAGACTCAGTGACACGAAAAGTTACATGCTTTCTCTACATCGGTCTGTTCGCTTTTGTATAATTAGAGGGCACAGTTCATTTATATGTTAATTCACTGATAAGATAATGAGTAGACATCAAGAATATTACAAGTTGTTTAAAATGGACCATAGATTTTTATAGCAGGAGATTTTTAATATACATCATTTTATTTGTATTCAACTCTATACTGGCTTGACTGTGGGTAGACAAACAGCGACCGGCTTGGCCGTGATGATGGCACCTACTTCAAAACTAGGGTGCATAATATATCACTACTATTTCAGTTATCAGTTGATATTAGTTATTAGTTATTATTTTGGATATTTAATTGTTCATGCTCACTTCCCTTATTGTTACTTTTAAAGGTAATCTTCAAAAACACTAATAATTTCATTAATAATAAAGTTACATATTTAATTAATTTAATAATTAAATTTACCACTGTTAAATTTAATCTTTAGCAAATCACAAAATTATTTTTGTACATTGTAATGCTGTGATGCTTGAATTCACTTGTGGCATTTACTGTAAAATTATGGATTTTAGTTTAAGTTAAATTTTTAATCTATTTAGACAAAATAGTATAGAATTTTAATATCAGGGATTTATCCGTTATCAGCCATAACACACACAAAATAATTAACTTACCATTACAATCATAAGTTTTGGTATTTTATTGGTATTTTTTTTGCTGTTTGCTTGTACAACTTCACTATCAATTATCCAATAAGGTGATGCTTCAGAGCACTAAACTTGGTGTGATTTGCATGTGATTTGTGTGGCTCATTCTGCACCTCTATTGCGTCACCAAAGATGATACTGAATTGTAGGGCCTTTTTAAATATTGTTACCCCACATTCTGAATTTTGATAACCCAACATTGCTTCAGAGATTATCCTCTTTGGTCTCTCTTTCCACATGCTGATCCTAATCAAAGCTTCTCTGTCTCTCCCCTCCAGCCCACCCTCAGGTCGCAGACGCTTCTGCCATGACAGATCTGACGAGGAAGAGGAAGAAGAAAAAGAGGAAGGGAGCGCGGGCCGAAGCACCTACCGCTCCCGCTACAAACACAGCAGCTACCTGAATGACAGCGATGGCGAGACCACCGCATAGCCGCACCCCACGGACACATTCACATGCACTCACATCCTCAGAAAGGAGGACTTTTGAGTTTATATCAGTGTCTTCCTTGAACTCGGATCCAGATGAGAGGATTTCAGCGAGAGTGGAGCATGATGGGACGCACTCTGGCAAAGATATGCCCCTCGTTTCTTTTGACTTGTTATTAGTATTATTATTTCACATGTGCTTTGTGTTTAGAGCTTTAAAGGGTTTGTACAGCATCATGAATCACAGCACTGTTGACTCTTTCCTCTTTGTGTGCTTTTACTTCTGACGTTCTTCCTCTTCCTTTCTAAATAAGCAGGGACTTTACCAAACGCTGTGCTTGCATTCTTACTCCGGTCAGATTCAGTAATGGATATTGCTTGGGGCAACACGCTACAGCCTCTTGCATGGTCAGTCCTGAGCCAAAGACACATGGCATTGTGCAAACGTGAAATCTCTGGATTTTTCTGTTGTGCTAGATTTAAAAGAAAAGAAAGCCAAGAGAAAAAGGCAAAGAAAATATTGTATTACCAAAAAAAACTTTGTTTTAGGTATGTGAGCAAATTAGTTTTTCATTCTTGACAGTCGAGGTGGGGCTGATTTAAGATCTCCACAACTGTTGTTTTCACAAACCTGCTTGTATCGTTCTCTCTCCACCTCTTCACTTTCATACAGTGAAGGATTCATGTGTTTTGCTCGAGTAAGTGAGAGGGAGCCCATTTCTCCTCTCGTTCTTCACTTTGTTTTGATGTTTTAAGTGGAGAGGAAAAAAGGCGATCAGGTCAATGATGCGAGAAGAGGGCAGCATTTTGGGAAGATCAGGTCTGGACTCTAAAAGCTTTTTTTCCCTCTGTAATATGCCCATCTTGTTCTGTTTTGACTGAATTGACTACAGTAAGTGTTTACTCATAGGAGACATTGTATGGCTCAGCGGTTTATTCCCACACTTTCTCGTTGTGATTGTTATTGTTCTCAGGCTTTTTTGTTTTGGTTAGCATAGATGTCCGGCTTTCCCAAGGGAGTGTCCATGATTTTGGCTATATGGGGCATTGTGGTTATTTATCATCCAACTCTACCGATACTGGATAAACTGCTTCAAAGTTGCTTTTTGCGCTGATGTGATGCAACCAGAAGCACGAGATGGAGACGTTTGACAGAACCGATACTGTGAAATCCCAGCTTCCCTGCTGCATGTCGTCACATTGGATTCATCAATATTTTTGGCCTTACCTAATGACTTTGAGACTCACTTGAACTCGTACGAACACACACCCCTCTGATTTCCATTGTTGCCTTGTGTTTTGTTGGCAATGAAAGGATGTCATTGCTTCTCTTTGATTTTTCGCGTGTGTATTTTACATGGTTTTATAGACCCTCTGCAAAGGTCAACCACTTTATCTTCTTTTCTATGCAGTCAATATTGATTTTAATATGAAAAATGAGCTTTTTATGATGTTTCCGGTGAATTAAAACACGTGGCTACAAGATGCATAACTTTTGCTGTCTGTACACATTAATATAAAAATATATAAATATCTGTATGATTCATTCTAGCTTTCAAAATAGCCAATGTTTATTTTCTTTATTAAATAAATGACCACTTGATAAATAATAATTTTGCATTACAGTTTAATATATTGTAAATAAATGATTGTGATTGTTTTAGACTTGTTTCAACATGCTTATTTCATAATGCATTTTTTTAATAGCAGACACAAAAGGAAAAAAAAAAATCATTTTGGCATACTCAACATGCAATTTTCTTCTCACATTTTAAAGCTGCAGTTTATTATTTCTGCACTGTTAGTGTCATCAAAGATAATTTTTTCAATAAAATGATAAGTAATAAACAATAATGAGATGGTTTATCCTTAAAGAATAAATTTATTGCAATAAATAATATAATTTTTCCAAATAGGTTTCCTAAAACCTTCCATTATTTGGAAAACAGGTCGTCCCATCTTGACTTTGTGCTATTGGTTTGAGCATAAAAATGTCTCTTCTCAAATCTATTTTAGTCCAGTTTTACTGCAAAAAAAAACAAAAAAAAAAACAGCAGCTTTAATTTTCTTATTTATCCAAAGCTTTTAGATTTTGATTGATCGTGTTAGTAGGAAGATAAAACCTGCAATATTCATCATCTCTAAGAGCAACAAATTCTGTGTATCTAACTTACATTTCTCGGAGATCAGGCGAAACATCTGAATGAAGCCTTAAATTTCAGTATTTAAATACAAAATATGCATTCAAATTACACAGAGTAGAAAAGCCCTGCCTATGGTTCACATTCAACAAGCTTTTCTTTTCCATTGGCTGTTTGCTCCATTGCACAATAGGAAGGCTTGCAGTAATCTGTATCAGCTAACAATAGGAAAGGCAGCTTAACTGGGCACAGCTTGAGCTTTCCATTGGCTCCATCAGTGCAGTCCAAGCAGAGAAGTAGGTGTGATGAGTGTGAACCAGCAGCAGTCCTCTGCAAAATCTTAAAACACATTCAAATAAATGCCGATCATAGGCTACAGTTCTCTTGCCTAAAACCTAACAATTATGATCCATATTTCAACTACCCATTCAATAAATAATTGCTATCTTGAACACACATTTGACATGCCTTATGGATTATATGCAGAAACGCCTACAGTACAAATGTATTGCTGTTTTTTAAGAGTCTGACCTTTATAGCCATTTATAAATGCTGGTTGTAAGCTTGAATTTTTTATTATGGACTGTTATTATGACAGCAGTACAAATCAATACTATATAATATGGTCTTGCATAGCGTTCAGTGCTCTTTAAAAACATTGTTAGTCTGAATTTAAAGGTGCTGCAGTCTTTTCACAGGAGCATCCTTTCATTGTGTTACACAAACACCTGCTGTGCATATAAATAGAATTTATAGATAAGATGACAATGCTTCACATCAAACCACTGTCTGTAAGACACCCGTCTTTTTAAAATCTATATTTATTTTATTTATTTATTTTTTTGTTTATTGTGGAATTTGCAAAATAATTCCTGGGTTTTAACTATTATTATTGATAATAATATTATTATATATTATATAATATTAATAGTATTGTTGTTGCTGTTGTTGCTATGTTTATTTATATTTTATATAATAAAATAGTTACAAATTATAAAATTATATAATTAATTGCATATTAAATATGAATTCATTAAAATGCTGCTATTTATATTTTATTCATAAAATAAAATGTATACAAATTCTAAAATTGTATATTAAAATAAAATTATTATTATTAAGAAAATACAATGTATATCAATTCTAAAATTATTTAATTAATAAACATTTTATAAATGGTAAAATTATTATCATTATTATCGATTTTACATATATATATATATATACAGTGGGTACGGAAAGTATTCAGACCCCCTTAAAGTAATCTGTAATCTAAAAATCTTAATGCCAAGGGTTGGCATGCAAGTAGAAATCTATATAAATCCTAATGCAGTAATTATTAAGAAATGGAAGGCATGGGATGTATTGTATAAAAGCCATGGTAACCGTATAATTAAGAACAACTTAAGCATCTTTAAAACTGGTTTTACAGTGGTATGAAGCAAGTTTAAACATGGTTCTGGTGGCAAAACTAGCAATTACACCCCAGTTTTTTGTCCTTTGTAGCTGTGTAACAAACAGCAGCTGTCAGTCTCTTCCCACTCATAAACCATGGGCGTCATGAACGTGAACACTAACTCAAAGAGCTACACTCCCTCCAGCAGTCCTGGGGCACTGCTTTATGTGTGTGTTCTAATTATGGCATGCAAGCATGTCTCTGTGACTGCAGCTCAGGAGGAGTGTGGAATGGCGTGAGGGATGATTTAGGCAGTGTGATGCACAGTTGCTGTTTCTAGGTCAAATTCTGCCTCTTTTAAGACCATAACATTTAAGAATGCCTTCATCATCATCAAACTTTTGGAGGGGTGAAACACGTTTGACTGGGTGCAATGTTTGCCAGTGACTGCATTATTCATGATCATGATCTGTCTGAGTCCTTCTTTACGGTGTCCTGCACATTATTCTTTCCATGTGTACAGAAACAAAAGTCTCAGGTTCAAAATGAACCACAAGAGGGTTTTTTTCCCTGAGGCAAGGTGTCTTTAAGGCACAGAGTGAAACTGAGTATTGTTTTTTTTATATATATAATAAGGCAGCAACAGCAATATGATGAGACACAGTGGAACAGCTGATTAAAGTTCTCTAGCCTGTTTTCAATTAAACCTTCACTAAGTCCCACCTTAAGCATTTCACTAACCAACCATTTTTACCATAGCAACTATTGCCATTTTTTCTCTTTTACAGAAATTATCCAAAAATACAGTAAAAGTCACATATAATAGTGATACAATAAGGTACCCAGATCAGATAGCGATTTTAAAACTTTAAATAAATCTTTCAAATATAATTAATTGTTACTATGAAAGTAAAAAAAAATTTGTAAAGTCCATTTTCAACCCATATTCATTTCATTCCTATGATAGGATCTGTAAAATGTATGACTTAGCAACAGTAACCATGGGGGCTGGAACTTATTGTATTAAATATATGTTTGCATTATTTCTATTTATTATGATTTTATTTTCTTCTGTCTTATTGTTATACTTTCCTTTTTTTTATTAGCATTACATCCCTTGCTCACCAATGGATCCTCTGCAGTGAATGGGTGCCGTCAGAATGAGAGTCCAAACATCTGATAAAAACTTCCCAATAATCCACAAGTAATCCACACGACTCCAGTCCATCAGTTAATGTCTTATAAAGCAACAAATCCATCAAGGCGTTTTTAACTTCAAACCATTGCTTCCAGCTAAAATACGAGTCTTCTATCCATAATATTGCTTTCTCAACTTCAAACCATTGCTTCCAGCTAAAATACGACCATAATATCCATAATATTGCTTTCTCCAGTGAAAAAGTTGTCTCATCTGAATTGTTTTTTTATTATTATTATTATTATTATTATTATTAATCAATTCAAATGTGTTCATAGGTACTTTTTTTGGCTATTACACAATGGATTAAAACATGGTTTGTCCAATCAGAATTGAGAATTGGAAGTTGGAACCATCCTTTTTTTTTCATAGCTTATTTTGAATAGGCTACAGCTTGTAGATATGTGTTTGCTTCCTCAGAGGCCTCTTCCACTCTGCCAGATACAGTTGTCTGACACTGTCTGGATTGTAATATCCTCTGATGAAAGGAGTGATGTAATATTCATGTGTGGCCATTATTCCCCTGCTGGGCTGCAGTGTGTACTGAGAGAGGTGGAGGTACAGACACAGGGTGGGTAAAGACGCAAGTGTTGTCTCTCCCCAGCGTATATCTGATGAGAAGAGGCTGTAACGCCGTTTGATGCACTCTGTGTTTCCTCCTAGCAGCTCTGGCACCAGGCTCATTACCCTACCAAATGCAGCTGGCACATTCTGTAACTTCTCTCCCAGGTCCCTGATGACAGCGTCAGACACACGCTTGCGGTCACCAGCCACTGCCGGCATCGGAAAGCAGCAAGTAGTTCATCAGTTGTAGTTCATTCAAGTGTTATCAGGCTCTCAGAGGCCAGTGTTTAAAGATTTTTAATGCAAAACCCCCAAAATTGGCATCTTCACTCCAACAGAAGTTCGCATGATTGTGTGATTTTTTAAAT